GGGAGTGGGGGGCTCGTGGGAGGAGAAGGAGGGGCCGGCACACTCACATCCACACCAGGCAGTCCCGGCATCCCGGCTTCTCCTGGTTTCCCTGGCTTCCCCGGGGCCCCTTTCGGTCCCTGTGGAGGGAAAGGGCAGAGGCGTGAGCAAAGCTCCAGCCAGAGCCTTGGCTTTCACCAAGGAGAAAAGTGTCCTCCAGCGGGGCACAACCTAGCAGCCCTAGATGGGCCCCTCTCCACCAGAGCCCCAGCCCTCCCTGCTGCCCTGCCCACCCCTTGCTGGCCCCAGGAGGGCTTCCCCCTCCAGCTGCCCCTCTACCCTCCTTCGGTCACATCTGTAGGACACTCACCCAGACGCTTTGGCCTCCCCAGCTAAGGGCCAGTGGGCCCCTCTGTGGGCCCCTCTGTGAGCCCAGAACCCTCAAGTGCAGGGCCTGAACAGCTCCAGGACGGCTCACTTGTGGGACCTCGGATGGGCTGGATGTGCAGGTCTGTATGGACCTCTTCCCTGACCTGCCGGCACTTGCCTGAGCAAGATTCAAAGCCAGCCCCTGCCCGGGAGACTCACTGAGTCCCACCCGCCCCTCCCACCTCTTCCCGCTCTGCCCCTGCTCCAAGGCCGCCCTTTGGCAACCCAGGGCCCAGCATGGTGGGAAGGGGTGTCAATGACCCCCCTGCTCTAGGCCCACCCGTCCCCTCCAGACTAGAAGGAGGCCTCTTCCCCCCACCCTCCACACACCCCGCAGCCAGGACACTCACCAAGGGCCCAGGCAGCCCTGGAGGACCAACTTCTCCCTGCAGAGAGGGAGACGCCCACACGTGACCAAGTGTCCTCTGGAAGCTCCGCCCAGGGGAGCAGAGCTGGGCCCCAGAGGAGGCCCCAGGAGGCAGGATGGAACCCCTCACCCCGTCATCCACACCTGTAGGCACCTCCCCTCTAGGGCCAGGTGCAGAGGCAGGTGGTGGGGGGAGGGGTGATCTGGACAGACTGGGGATTTGAGCCCACTTTGAGGGCACAGGGACACCCCAGAAACGGTGGGAGGCGTCATGAAGCCCCACCTCTCCGCCTGCCTGAGAAACTCCAGAAACCCGGTTGGAGGTGGCAGCCTCCAGACACAGAGGACTGGGAAGGCATCCTGGCACCCTCTCCACCCTGACGGCCACTGGCTCTGAAATCTTTTACCCGAGGCTTTCAGGCCAGGCTTTAAGTGGAAACGTCCACAGAGGGAACGACTGGGGAGCCCTGGGGCGCCAAGTGCCCAGCCCCACCAGGAGGGGAGGCCACCTGGGTCCAGGGCCCAATACAGCCACACTGAGCGACGGCCCTGCGGGTGGGGTGGCAGGAGGGAGACTCAGGACCATCAAGGGCCAGGCAGGGCCCTGGGGACTCAGAAGGAGGCAGGTTCTACCCAGGGAACAGTTATACTGGTGAGGAGAGGCCTGGAGGGCCCTGACTCTCACGGACGTGGCTGAGTCGGGGGCTCTCAGCCCGCCGGGTCCTGGCGGCAGCCTTCAGGGTCTCATCTGCCTCCCATACGGCTTCGGCCATGCTTAGGCGGGGGTGCCCTTGGAGGATGCCACTTCCGGGGCAGAGCCAGCCCCCAGCCCCGTCCAAGGCTGGCTCTCAGCCTCTAGTAGCCGCCAACGAGACCCACCCAGAGGGACAGCCTTTACCCCCAGAAAAGAGGAGTGCAGACCCCTCTGGGGACCCAGAGACACACACCCAGTGCCCACACCTCCAGCCCCAAGAGCACTATGGAGCCACCCCCGCCTGTCCTGGGGAGGCAGTCCCCGGGGGGTCCGCCCCAAGAAGGAACAAGGATCGTCTTTGTCCCATTTCACTCCCCACAGGGGCGCTGGCTCATCACCCCAGCCCTGGGAGGTGCAGTTAGCTTTCTCTCCATCAGGCCTGGGGCTCAGGGAGGTTGGGGCAGGAGCGAGAACCCCGCAGAAGCTCCCCGGCCATCCCCGCCCACACACTCACATCAATGCCGTCCTTGCCTGGCTTCCCAGGTGGTCCTCGGGGGCCGGGGGGGCCTCGAGGTCCCACTTTCTGAAATGGAGAAATGTCATCAGGCAGCTGCATCCCCACTCTCTCCCGCTGGCGGGGGGGGGTCCCCCCTGGTTGGAGGAGAGCTAGGGCCTGTCCAGGGCCTTGGCAGTGTCCCCTGCCACCTCGCCTGGGCGGGAGGGGCTGCGTCGGGGCTGAGCCCCGCAAGCAACAAAGGCCACATTGTATCTCTCTGGTGGAGACACAGCGCTGGCACCGGACCCTGCCTGGTGAGGAGGGGCAGGCCCTGCGCGCATCTCCGAGGTGTCCCGGCGTCCATGGAGGCTAGCCGGGAGATGGCGAGGAAGCTATGGGGCGACAGGACTGTGCCCGCCATCCCCGGGGCCCCGGGCTCCCCGGCTCCCTCGCTGCCCCTGGGGGCGAGGCGGGGAGCTTATTCCCTGGCTGTGCTGCTCAACGCAGACCTCAGAGCCACGGACCCCCACCCCAGCCGCCTTCCAAGGCGAACCCAGTGCACTGGGGTCCCGCGCTCACCTGCGCCCCGGTCACGGTCACGGTGGCGGCCAGCAGCTGCCCAAGCAGGAGCAGGGCCAGAGCGGGGGCTCCGGCCATGGCTGCACACACGCTCTGAGCGGAGCCCGGCGGGGTGGCAGCAGCCCGAGCTCGGCTCGGCGGGCGGGGCTGCTGGTGGGCTGGACGCCAGTTCCCGCCCCACTGGCCCTCACACAAGCCCCCCATTCAGCTGGGCCCACCTGGGTGGGCGGGGGCTTCTGCGCTGCCCCGCGCCTCCCTGCCGAGACAGTCGGGGAAGAAAAGAAACCCAGTGGCATTTTTTTGGCCAGCCTCTGAGTTAAAATTATCCTGGGACTGGTTAGTTACACACATACACCTTGTAGCAAGCAAGAAAGAGGCTCTTTTCTCCCCTTGGTCCTCGACCAGGGCGTGGAGAGGGAGAATCCCACGTTGAAGGACTCCTTTGGAGAAGGGGCAGTCCTGTCAGCGGGGTGGGTGAGTCCCATACTCCTCCCCAGGGTCCGGAGAGGGACCCAGGCTGCCCAAGGCCCAGGAAGACCCCCAGAGAGGGTGAGCACGCCTGTGCCAGGTGTGAGACAGGGCCCACCACGGCCCCGGTTCCCACTCCGGGGCCCTGCCGTGGGCAGGATAGACTCTAGGGCCATGCCTGCTAGGCTGGAACGCCGCCCCCAGGGCCCCCTCCCCAAACTTTAACTGTACTGAGTGGTCCATCCATGTGAACCAGCAGCGGCAAAGGCCGGACTCTCACCCGGCACTGCCCCCCGAGAGCCAAGCGGGGGCCCTGCAGAGAGGAAGGAAGGCCCACCGTGGTCCTGAGGCCCGAGCAAAAGCCTGACGAACAGGAGCCCTGAGGCTGGCATGGGCCCTCCCCGTTTCTTATGAGCCTTGGCAGCTCAGCGGTTGCCAGATTGGGGCACGCTCTGCTTCAGCCCGGGAGCGCATGGGGGCAGTGGGTAAAGGGCAGCGCCACAGCGCATGGGAGCAGCGGGTAAAGGGCAGCGCCTGCAGCCGGGAGGACTCGATGACACCCCCCCAGGGACACTCAAACATCCAGGTCACCTACAGAGCCCACTGAATGCCCGGAATCCCAGCCCCGCCTCAGGTGTCTGAGGCTTTAGAATTCCCTGGGAAATGCTGCTTTAGGATGAGCTTCATTTCTGCAGGTGAGAGCTCAGAACTTTTGAGATGACGGGAATTAGCCCAGGAGGGAGCATGCAGCTAACCGAAACAGTTAAAACCTCCCTTCCCCGTTGGGTTCAGCTGTGGGCTGCTCGTCAGGCTTGGCCACACCCTCCAAAGGGAGGGTGGATTCTATCAGGAAGGGCCAAGAGGATCCCCAGAGTTCCAGCCTTCCAGCCAAGTCAGAGTCATCTTAGGACATCCTCAGAGATGCAGTGTGGGGCTGGGTGTAGGGCAAGCAGCTTCACCCCACCCCTACCTCCAAGGCACCTCCCACCCGGAGCCCTCTCCTTCCTGCGCTGCTGGGCCAGACTCAGAGGAAGCCTGGCTGGGAAGTGCCTGGAACAACCCCCCCCTTTACAAACTCACTCCCAGCTCTGTGCAGACCCTCCCACCTGCTGCCAGGAAACACCCTCCCCCTGGAGAGCTGCCCCTGCCTCGAACCCAGATAGCCACGGTGGCCTGGGGAGAGGCCACAAGGCTGGCCTCACGTCCACCGGTCAGTCCGGTGTCGCTGCCCACCTGTTCTGGGCCGTCACTCTCCCCGAAGCTTGCGGGTCAGGTGGGCCCGAGCTGCCTGCCCTCCCGTTCCCAGGCCCCACTGCTGGGCACATCCGGCCCCCAAGGATTGCTCCGATGGGGTCCACTTCTCACTTCACGCCCCAAGCTTCTCCACCTGAACCTGAGCCCCATAATGGTCTGGACGAGGACCTGATGACACTATGTCCCACCCCCACCCCAGCGAGTGACTTCCAGTTTGTCCATCCCCCTCCCCACAGGACAGGAGCTGTGGGGAGAGCATGAAAAGGGGACCCCGGTCCCGGCCCCTAACTCCCTCCCCCTCCCCCGCCAGGTGTGACCTCCATCACTTCCGAGTCTCCGCGTCCTTGGTGCTGATGTAGAAAGGAAGGGAGCGGTCCTGGCACAGGGGACAAAGCCAGGTTGAGGGGGAGCATGCCCTGCGGGGTGGGGGCTGCTGAGGGAGGGAGTCACTCCGTTCCCAGGCCGGTCCCTGCGTGGAGGACCGATGGGGTGAGGGGCAGCTGTGGCCGCCAGGGAGGGGACAGAGGGGAGCCGAGGGACCAGCTGCCCAGCCCCAGCGGCTCTGGGGTCAGGGTGCCCAGGAGGCCTGCACCACTGCTACACCCCAGGCACTCCCACGGGCAAAGTGGTACCACAGCCAGGCCACGTGCACCCAGAGGGCGTCCAGCCAGCATCACTCATGAAGCCAGCCCCTCCCCTGCCCCGGCCACCCACAGGGCCACCGTCCACGCCCAAACACTCAAAAGTCAGATGAGTTTATTCAGAAAAGGCCTCTGCACCAGACTAAGAAAATGAGCCCCCCTCCCACCCCCCAGCCCATGAGGAGCCAGGTTACAAAGGTGGGGGCCGGGCAGCGGCACAGAGGACGAAAGAGGCGGGAAGTGAGGTTGAGGTAAGAAGGGTGCTGAAGCCTTGGCCTTCCCCAAGGGGGGGCCTGCCCTTCCAGCAGTTGCAGTGGTGGCTGCAGGGAGAGGCCCGCAGCGCTGGGGGCGGGGAACAGCTGGCCACATGGCTCCCAGGCCTGCGGCGGGGCAGGGCAGGGCCCCGGGCATCCCCCTCCCTAAGGCTCTCCGGGCTGGACAGAGGGTCCTGCCTCCGTGGGCTCTGCCCTCTCGTCCACCTCGGGTCCTGCAGTGGCTGGGCTCCCGGGGGCACCCTGCTCCGGCCCTGCTTCTTCTTTGACCTCATTTTCACCCTCTTCAGCCACTGGGCGCCCTGACGGGGCAGGGGGCTGGGCGGCGGCCAGCGTCACGGTGCCATCACCTGCTGCCACCCCAGTGCCATCCCTGGCACCCTGGTCAGTCTTCCTGCGCTTCCTCACGTCGTCAGCCACCTTGGCCTCCAGGGGCTGGGGGCGGGGCTGCTCGGCCTCCTCCGGGGCTTGGCTGCCCACTTCCTGGGTCTCCGCCCCGAGGCTGCCCTGGCTGAGGGCACAGCCCTCCAAGTTCAGGGCGATCTTCTCCACCTCCGAGGCGCTCGGGCCCGGCTCCCCTGGGGCCCGCGCCCGCAGATTCGCCTCCAACTTCCTCTTCTTCCTCTCCTTGGGGTTTGGAGACTCTGGCCCCTGCTCGTCGCCGGCCTCATCTCCCTGGTCCTTCTCCGAGGCTCCAGCTTCCTGGGGCTCTGTGCCGGGAGGCTGGGGACCCTTGGCCACCGGGTCCCCCTCTTCATCCCTCCCTGGCCCGCAGGTCTGCCCCTGGGCTGCGGCCTCGAGGAGGGGCTCCCCAGGGCTCTCCTCCCCGTTGGCCTGCCTTGGGCGGGCCGGCCGGGGCGAGCAGGGAGGAGAGCACGGCCTGAACTTCTGCAGCTTGTCGTGGGGCCCCCAGACGAACCTGCAGCGGGGCCGGAAGTGCTCCCAGGCGAAGTACAGCAGCTCACGGCGCTGGTGCCGGCACCGCACAGCGAACACAAAGTAATCCAGGGCGCTCTGCCGCAAGCCCGGCAGCTGCCGGCGCACCAGCGTCTCCTCCAGGAAGAAGCGGGCCAGGGGGGCCTGGTAGTGCTCCAGGCCCAGCTCCCCCAGAGACTTCAGGATGCGGGTGATGCGGAGGTTGTTGTGGCTGTGCCTGGAGGGGACAGGGGGCACTGGCAGGGCTACACGGGGCTGGGCGGCGCTCGGCCAAAGCCCACCCTTCCCTCCCCCGCCACCCCAAGAGCCTGATGTCCACCAGCAGAGACACTCCGGCCCACAGGCCAGTCTCTGTTCCCACCTGCTCCCCCTGCAGGGCCCCGGTCCCTGAGAAGACGGCCCGTGAGCCTGGATCACGTAGGTGAGGGATTGTGATGCATCCTCTAGAAGGGTGACTGTCCCCTTGGTCCCATGGAACACCCACCCCCACCTCAGCTGGAAGAGGACCAGATGGGGACCCTCCAGAGGCGGGGGCCTCAGTTACCCATGGGCAAGGGTGGTTGTACCATCAGCAGAGTCATGCTCTGTGCCTCCCCCAAGCCCAGCGTTTCCCAAGGCAGGAGAGGGGAGTGTGCCTGCCACCCCCAGCGGGTGCGAGGCTCAGGGACGCTGTGATGGTGATGGAGCTCCCCTGACAACCTGACCCATGCCCACGTGGGCAGGAGGGCACAGCCAAGAAGCTTGTGGACTCACGCGGCTTTCTTTAGTGCTCACACCCCTATCAGGTGGGGTCCACCCCCGCTCTGCAGGCAAGGAGGATGCCCAGAGCCTCAGGCACCGGCCCCGCAGGCCTCGTCCCCAGCCTGAGTCCGGCTATGCAGCCCCCCGAGCTGCTGGGCCCGGGCTGAGCAGCACCCTCACCAGCTGAGGTTCTGGAAGCGCTTCTGGTAGTTCTGCGCTCGGCACACGCGGCCCGTGTCTCGGTCCTTGAGCTGGATGCCGAAGAAGCCCAGCATGAGCTCGTAGGCCTGGACCAACCGCTTCCTGGCCTCCGTGGAGCTTTTAAACGCCTGCAAAACGCCCCCCGAGAGCAGCAGGGAGCTCAGGGTGGCGCCAGTGCAGTGTGGGGCCGCACGCCGCCCTCGGTCCCCGATTCATCCCGGGGCTTCGGCTCAGACCCTTAGGGTGAAGCGTCAGGGTGCAGAAGCCCAGGGATGCTCTCTTCGCTCTGAGCTGTCGCAGGGTCTCTCTGAGGCCTGAGGTGCTGCTGTAGCCCCAGGAGGAACTCCCTGACCTGAGAGGGGACCTAAGGGACTCCAGGGCTGGACAGGGGGCAGCAAGCACCCACCCTGTCTTCTTGGTGCACCTGCTTGGCCTCTCTTGTGGGCTCCTTGGCTCCTGGAGCCCCCTCCCGATCATCCAGGGCATCCCCAATCCAGCCCAAACCAGGGCTGACCAAGGCAGAGCCCGGGCACTCTGACTCTGCTCGTGGCCCCTGCCCTGGACCCCTGGATGTGAGCGATCCTCACCGTCGGATTTCTCTGGAAGCCTGCAAGGAGCACTGAGGGCAGAGGCGAGGACCACTTGGGAGGGAAGATAATTACATGGCTGGGGGGAGGGGCTCCTCTAGCTCCTGTACCGCCAGCAGCTCCTGAAGGGGCACGTGAACCCCTGTGGCCAGCCAGGCCCCTCCCCTGGCCTTTAGAGCTCACCTCGACCTCTTGGAGCGTGAGGGGCTTGGCGTGACAGTTCACTCCTGGCTCCCGCAGGGGAAACAGCCTGTGAAGGAAGAGATGGCACAGGCCCTGTCAGTGGCAGACGTGGGCCACCAGCCACTTGGCACGCGTTGGCTGGGCAGCCTGGGGCGGCTCTCCGCTTGCCTCCGGGGGCTGGCTGGACCACACGTGCCACAGGTTCTCACCAGTCAGTAAAGCCAAGGGGCAAGGGTGGGAGAGCTCCAGGGAGGGTGCCCAGAATGAGGGCCCAGGGCAGACCCACCTACAGAAGTCCTAGCTTGCCCACTCAGCAGCAAAGGCACCTGCCAGCCGCCCCCCGGGAAGCCCTCCATTCCTTTTCATTTTCACATTCTTCTGTTCCTCCCATCATTAATGCTGTGGAATTATTCCCCGGGGAACCCTGCGCCCCGGGTTGGCCCCCTGCAAGCTGTCCTTAAAGGACACTGCGTTTGTGGGGCAGCATCCAGGGGCACCTCAAGGCACTGTTAGAACCCGCCCCCGCGGCACAGGGGCTCCGCGGACAGGCTCGGGACAGGCTCATGGGGCCTCCGGTCCGCTGGTTTGCTGCTCTTCCTGTCCCCAGGAGCGGTGTCAGCTCCCAGTGGCAGAGGCTGTTCACAGCTGGAGAACCCAGGAGAGCCCAGACTGCAGGACCCGGTCTCCCCTGCCCCGCCAGCAGTGCCGGGCACTGGGCCCTGAGGGCAGTGCTGTGCCTGGGAGAGGCGGAGCCAGGCTCCAGCCTGGGGGGGGGGCCTCAAGCCTCTCCTCCGGAGCCCCGCCCTGCAAGCTCAGCCCCGCCCTGCCCACTCACCACTGGATGTAGGAGTGATTATCCTCCAGGAGGCCGTACTCTTCCTTCCAGTTCTGAAGAATGTCTTCAATGAAACAGCCTGGGAGCCCCACGGGGACAAGTCAGCCAGGGCTCCTGAAAGCCCCTTCCCCCACTGCCCTCCGCTCCTTTCGTGAGGACCTCGGGGCCTGGCAGCTTCAGGCTGTGCACATCTCATGTGATTTTAACCCCACTTTGGCCGACTGCCACTCTGCCACCTGGAAAGCGGACCCTTATTGCTGATGGAGGGCAGACCTGAGTGGGCAGGCCCCATCCAGGAAGGACAAGTGGTCCCAAACCTGCTCCTGGCTTTGCAGCAGGGGGGGCCTCGCCGTAGCCCACAAAGCACAGGCTGCTGGCCGGAATTCTGCCCTCAAACAGAACCTGCAGCCGAGCCCCACCCGGCAGCCTGGTCTCCCGCAAGGCAGCCCGTTTCTGCAAAGGGCCAGGAGGGGAACAGCTGAGGCCACCGGCCTGTGCTGTGGCAGGAAAGCAGCCACAGACAACGCGTAAGTACAAAAGCATGGGTGGGTTCCAAGGAAACCTCACTATGGACACTGAAATCTGAATCTCATATGATTTTCACATGTCACAAAATGTTATTATATCTTAAATCTTCCCCAACCATTTAAAACCGTAAAAACTGTTCTTTCCTGTTAGTTTACATATGCTGCTTTCCCACTATAGAGGGAGAGTCGGGTAGTCGGACAGAGACGGTGCGGCCTGCAAAGCCACCAGCATTCCTTGCCTGGCCCTTCGGAGCATGTTGGCCAGTGGAGCCAGGCCAAGGGTTGGGGACCTGGCAGCCCCTCGGCAGCTTCCAGGGGGCCCCGTGGGGCTACCCGAAAGCCACGTGTCCAAACCAGGTCCCAGCAGACCAGACAGGCAGAGGGGAGAAGGGGGCCCCCCGAGGCTGGAGCTGTCAGCAGCTGAGCAGGTACACACCGTTAGGCAGGAACCGAATCTCGTTTTTGTAGAAACTCAGGTTGGGCATGTCACCACTGGCATCTCCTTCCACCAAATCCTGAGGAGCCAGAGAGAGGTGCCAGACAGGGTATCACCAAAACGGGCCGCCTCCAAGGGCCCCTGACGCTGAAGCGTTCCCGGGATGGGTGGGAGGGAGTGGGTGTCTGCTCTTGGCCCCTGAACCTCCAGGCATCCGGAAGGCTGGTGAAGACCCCGAGTGCCAAGCCTGCGCCCTCCACCCTGAAGGTGAGGACGAGCCTCCACACTTGGGGGACAGCAGTCACCTCTGACCACCAGCGACGACCTTCCCCCCACCAACGCGGGCCAGGGCTGGGAGGTCCCCTTCATCTGCACCCCAAAGACAGCCCAGGGATCACCCGAGACTCTTGGGTGCAGACAGCCGGGGCTGAGGGAAAGGAGGCTGTGAGACGGGCTAGCGGTGCTGGGCCTCCTGTGGACGAGCTGCCGGCTGGCGCCGTCACGTGTTTTAAAGGTAAGGGCACTGAGATGGGAGTTAGGGCGCCGTGCTGTCACCCCATGATTAGGGGAAGAAGCAGCAGGCCCAGCTGGGGTGTCCGGCAGGACGTGGGACATTGTCTGAGAAGGGCTGGTGGGACACTGTCCAGCTGGCCTTCTCCGGGAGGAGGATTTGGTCCCGGTTGGGCTGCAGGGGGCAAGGGCGCTGCAGGCAGCTACCTACCGGGTAGTGGTGCCGGTACCTGCGTGTGTCCCGCGCTGCTCGCCAGTTTCGGGACCCTGTCACCTTGAGTTGGGAAGAGAGGAGATTGGATGAGACCCACCCCCAGAGACCCTCCCCACTCCTCAAGGCAGCCAGCAAGCAGGACCCACCCCACGGAGCCCCCATCCTGGTGACGGCAGCAAGGACCTGGGCTAGCTGTCAGCAAAATCAGAGGGGGTCGGAGTAGCTGCAGTGAGGCTGGCCCCTGCTGCTCGCTCCAGCCCTCAGGAACCCCAGGCCAATGTGCATTCTTGGGGTGGAGCCCCCCTAACTCTAGTTTCACTTTCTCCTCCCATGTTTGCTGGCTACCCTGCTTGGATCACACCCCAGGACCTCGCCCTGGGAACCCCGCCTTTCCCAGCACTTCCTCCTTGCGCTGTGCTCTAAGTTGTCACCTAAGGGGCTGTGTCCCTAAGGGCAGTGGCCTTGCCAGGAGGGGCCCCAGATGCTTCCCATGGTGGGCTTCTTAGCCAGATGCCAGTGTGGCCAATGGACAGCGGATGAAACTGAAACTCAGCAGAAGCTGGCCCCATCCCTCAATCAGTTTCCATTTGTCTGCCCATGGAGCTACAGTGGTGACAGTGTCCTCTCACCTACGCTGCACCATGCCCGGTGGGCATCTGCCTGGGGAAAGAGCCAGATTCCTGCCCTGTGACTCCTGTGACCTGTGACCCAGACCACTGCCCAGCCTACCTCCCTGAAACACTAGAGAAGTGCCGAGGCCGCCGGCCTTCCAGCCAGGCCCAGGAGCCCCTGGGGGTCCCTCTCGCTGACTGACCAGTCCAAGACACAGAGAGAAACCTGAAAACCAGAGCTCTCATTTGCTACAGGCAGAATCCATCCCCGACACCACACAGGCTGGAATTCAAGACTCCCTAGACATGGTGCCAGGACGCCCTCATCCCGAAGTGAGGGGGACACATGGTGACAGCTACCACTTGGGGCCTTCCCTCTTACCCAGAACCCCAGCTGCGCCCACTCTGGGAACGTAACACCCGGCGAGCGCTAGCAAGTAACCTCTGGTAATAATGAGTAACCATGGTTATGACAAGTAACCAGCGGCGACGAGTAACCGGTGGGCACAGCCGGCCACCCTGGCACAGGCACACCACACACATGTAGCCTCTACGGCCACCTCCAAGACGAAGTGAGGTCAGCCCCAGCCAGAGTGGGTGGGTGCTGTGCCCAGTGAGGATCAGTGGGGGTGGGGCAGGCTGGGGGCTCTGGGGCCTGAGGGAAGCTGGAGTCCTGGACAGTGGGGCAGGGTGAGGTGACCCCCGAGGGGCGCCGGGTGGAGGAGGGAGCTCCAGGAGGCCGAGAGGAGCAGTGGAGGTGGCCAGCACTGAGGGCTGGGGCCTCTTTAGAGGACAGAGCCAGGGCCTGAGGCTGCGGTAGGACAGAGGCTGGGGAGTCCAGGATGTGCGGGGCCACCCCCTTGAAGAGGTGTCCTTACGCAGATCTGGTCCTGGGGACAGGGGTCTGAGGGTGGCCCTGGATTCCCTGCAAGGTGCCCTGGTGCGGGGGCGGATCTCAGGGTGCCCTGGGGATCACGATGGGGGAGGAGGACAGGGCCGGGAAGAGGGCAACCGTTGGAGATGGGGAGCCGGGCCCCAAGCCGGGTCTCCGGTAGGGGCCTCCACACTCGGCCCCGGGGTCGGGGGAGCAACGATTTTCCAGGAGCCGGGCCTTGCCCCCTAGTCCAACGCGGCCTCCCCAGGGGCGCCGGGTCCCCAGCGCGCGGGGGCGGCACCTGGAACGCGCTGGGCCGCGCGTCCGCCTCGGCCTCCACGTCCCGCGGAGCGCCGGCCTCGCCATCCTCGTCGGTTCCGGCCCTCGGGCCCTCGCCGTCCTCCTCCTCGTCCTCCTCCCAGGTCGAGTCGCAGTCCGGGTCCTCCATACTCCAGCGTCGGCGGGACCCGCTCCGGCGGAAGCGAAAGTGATAGAGGGAGGAAGCGCGGGGGCGTGCCGGGGGGCGTGGCAGGGGGCGGGCCGGGGGCGGGCCCGGGGCTGGCGACTCCGTCCGCCCCGCCCGGAGGAGGCCCATCCCCAGGAGGACTCCTGAAGGATGTCCCCCTGGAGGAGGCCCATCACCCCGAGAAGGCTCCTCCGGAGGACGCTCACCCCCTTCCCCCGTGAGGTTGCCCCCCACATGCCCACCTTGGTGATTTTTCCCTGGAGAGGCCCCCTGGAGGATGCTCCCCGAGGACACCCCCTCAGGATCCTCCCAGAATACCCCTTTCCCCTGGGAAAACGTCCCTCCCAAAGATGTTTCCCCGGAGGATGCTTGCCTCCCCAGCCCACCAACCTGAAAAGTCTCTCTTCCACTGTCCGGGAATGTTCCCCTCCACCCTGAGATCCCCACCCTGGAGATCTTTTTCTTGGAGGATGCTTACATCCTAGAAGTCCAGAACCATCCCCTGGAAGAAGCCCCGCCCCCACGTCCTCCTCAGAAGAATTTAGCCCAGGATGCCCTCTCCTCTGAGGATGTTTCCAGAGGGTCCCTGTCCCCCAGAGCACCCCCCAGAATGTCCCTTCCCCTCCAGAACATTCCCCCTGGAGGATACCTCTCTCCACCATGGTGCCCCCTCAGGATGACCTGAGGCAGGATGTCCCCCGAAGAGTGGCCCCCTGGAGGTTGTCCACAGCAGATGTCCCCCACCCTGTACGAATGCGTGGAGGATGTCCCCCCGCAAGGATGCCTCCAGGAGGACACCCCCTGGAAGTTGTCTCCCAGGTGTCCCCCCAGGATGCCCTCCAGGTGTCGGCTGGGGCAGCAGTCTCATCAGATTTCCTTTGGGGACTGAACTGCTTTCAAGCCCCCTCAGATGGTTGGTAGAACCCATCTTCCTGAGCAGTAGGGCAGAGATCCCTGTGTCCCCTCCAAAAGTTCACAACTGGGCAGTTTGCTTCTTCAAGGCCAGCGGGAAAGTCTCTCTCCAGTAGAGAGTCCCATAGTGCAGTGTCCTCGTGGGTCTGCCCTCCTGTCCCCCTTGCTGCATTATAATGGTTATAAGAAAGCACAGGGGCTGCCTGCACTTACGAGGGGGCACCAGGCAAAGACCCAAACACCTGGAGGCAGAAATGACCGGGGATCACCCTCGGGGCTGTTCAACACAGACTGAGGCCCAGCCCAGCCCCCGGGGATGCTGACCTCGCCCAGCCCTGCAAGTCATCTACCAGGCCTCAGGGGACGTGACAGTCCTCAAGCTGTGCAGCCGGGAACGACCCAGAGCTGAACAGAGCCTGCCAATCTTGGCCACGGGCACAGCTAAAGACCTTTTTTGGTGCTGGTGCCAATTCCTTGCAGGCTCACCAACCTGTTACCTCTCTGGGTACCATCTTGCCTGGATGACTTTCTAAAAGGACAGTGGTGACTCCGCCAAAGGTATGGAGCTCTGGGCATTTCTGCAAATCGTCTGCCACCGATGGCCTGGGCAGGTGTCCCGAGGAGCAGGTGATAGAAGAGCCGCCAAGCATCGGGTGGGGCTGGCCCACCGCAGGCTGCGGCCACGGGCCTGGCCTTCACCTTAGCTGACTTGCAGCTGGCCTCGGAGACCCTGGCTGTGACTTCCAGCCTCTGATGGAGGCACTGATGGGTGCTGGGGTGCCCTCCAGGGTTGGGCAGCTCTGACAGCACGTGGGTGGGCAGGCTTCCCCGCTCTGCCCCAGAGAACAGACAAGCATGCAGCGGAGACAGGGCCGTGGCCCCAGCCTGCGGCGCTCAGAGCACAGCCTTCCCACGGCTGCCTGCGGCCACACACAAGGCTTGTTCTCAGGTGCTGCCCAGCTTCCACTTTACAAGTGCCAGTCACACCCAACTGCACCTGGGCTCCGTCTAGATCCCCCCCCCCCCCCCCCCGACCCGTGGCAGGAGGTTACCGCCGAGGCTGTGATCTTCTGCTGGAGACTTACCCCACGGGAGCCCCCCCCATGCAGCAGGTCTGACCATGGGGTGCAAGCTTCTGCCCCAGCTGCCCACACAGGAAAGTCGGGCTGGAAGGCCAGGGCTGCTCAGGGTCGGCAGACCCGACCCAAGACACTCAACCTGACACGAGACACTGCCGGACGTCAGCCCTGCCGGGGAAGCGAGTGCCGGCCTCCGACCCCGCGCCAGGTGGCCTCAGCCCATGGAGCTCCTGGCCTGGCCTCGTGGGCTCAGCCTGTTCTGACCTCGTGCTCCTGGTGCTGGGGGACGGGTGGCATTCAATGTCCTCGTGGTTTGTCAAGATGAGGGCGAGCACCTTCGCCGTCACTCGGGAGGCCCGGCTGTGCCTCTCAACACAAGCTCAGCCAGAATTCTCGCCTTCACGTTCGTTTGTTCTTGGGAAGGAGGCACCAGTTCCCGCTGGTTTGCTCTCCTGACATTTTGCATTTGAAGGGTTGCTTACATGCAACAAAGTAGCCACTGGAACCCGTTGTTACTAGGTTGTATATTCATTGTATCAAGTGATCCGGTACATCAAAGTTAGCTTCAGTTATAAATCTTGAAAAAATACAACTTCCTATTGTAGGAGAAGTTAACTTACTTTGGTATCAAAATCACACAACTCCAGGTTGCTTTTTTGTGTTTTAATGTCCCTCAGTCAAACACAAGCGTACCTCGGTCAGCCTGGGGCCCAGGCTGCGGCGGGTCAGCCCCACGTCCTGCCTCCCTCCACATGCTCATTTGGTCTGTTGCAAGTTACTTGAGAATACAAAAATAACCGCTACAAATTCTCTGTATCGGCATATAAAAACTGAGCAAAAATTATCTCAGTAGTCTGTTACCTTAAAACAAAACGTCTCAGAAAAAATACAACACAGGTTTAACTTCTGCAGTATTTTTTTTCATATAAAACACTAGTAAAATAGGCTCCTTAAAAATTAAATAGTGAAACACCAACCAAATTATATACATCGTTACAGTACAAGTGAGTGAGGCAAAACACCCAGTTCTCAGTCTCTCGGGTGGTGGAGGGGCCGGCGCCCGCGGCCTGACGCTCTCCTGAGGCCGCAGTCGGTTGACAGCGGTAGACAGATGGACAGATGGACGAACGGGAAGACTGGGGCTCCTCAGAGCACAGAGGGGGTCGGTGTGTTATTGCTGGCTGTGCCCCGCTCTCTGCCCACGCAGCCTGGTTTGCAGGCCCGTGCCAACGCTTAGCCACAGGCGCAGCTCAGCTGTCGTCACGAAGCCACGAGTGTCCGGCGTGATCGTGGCCTGGGCTCACACCTCTCGGGTCTCAGCATCTGAACGGGTCCTGTTCCGGTCGTCAGGGGCCATCTGAGCCCAGGCGATCTGAGTGGCACCGCGGGAGCCTCTGGCACCTGAGGGCAGGCAGCAGGCCCAGTGGCATTTGACCCGCCGACTGCCTGGTGACCACGGTGCCCGCCTGCCGTGAGCGTCTACGTCCGGCGCCGCTTGGCCGCGCTGGGGCTGGAGGGGTTGCTGTTGGCGGTCAGGACTTTGTCGGTGACCCGGCTGCGCTTCCGCTTGTCCGGCCCCTCTTTGGACCCCAAGTCTGAGTTGCTCTTGTCTTTGTCTTTACTGGACTTTTCTGTTGCTTTCCCCAAGCTTCCTGAAGATGAAAAAACTGGGAGACAAAATCATTTGGCTGAAAACAGAATATCCAAAATTTTATTTCATCTTCCTGTTCAGTTTAAGAAGTCTACACCTACATACATGACACTGACCCCAAAAGGCTCCTCCCGAACTGGGGGTGCCCATGTGGCCTGCCCCTTGGGGGAGCGAGGCCCAGCCATGCCCGTCTTTGCTCCTTGGGGTTCGCCCTGCACTGAGACGGCTGCCACCCGTTCCACTTCAGTCGGACACCCTCCTGCACCCCGTGACCACTGACCGGGCCCGGGGCCAGGCTGCCCTGTGCCCCCTTCCCCGCCCCGTGCCGGCCCCGTGCGTGACGTCCCAGCGTGGGAGGCTCTGCCTGAGCACACGGAAGCGGCCTTCTCAGCTGCTGAGCCAGACGCCAGGCCCTGGCTGCCCGTGACGGGGAGGCCTGGCCAGGCTGGGGTGCTGTGCCCCTGGGGCCCCAGGAGGGGCGGGCGAGCTCCATACTTACCATCATCGGCCACATTGTGGGGGTCCACGTCTTCCTTCATTTCCTCGTTCGTATCCTCCTCAATGACCACTTTTCCTGGGGGGAGACGGCCGACGGTGACCTAGAGCCTGGGGCGGTCGGCGCCACAGCCCCACCCGACCTGCAGCGGCTCAGGCCAGGGCTCCTCCTGACTCGGGAGGCGCGTATGTCCTTCAGGATGTCCTCCCCCCGTCCTGGGGGCCCCCAGACCTCCCCCTCCAAGAGGGCCCAGCATCCCCCTGCCAGTGACGCTCACTCCCCGAGGCTCCTGACCTTCACCCTGACACCACCACCCTCGGCCTTTCCTAGTTCCCAAATCTGCTCTCGCCCGAGTCTTACCTTCTCGGACTTCTTGAATGATTTCTTCTGGAAGGACGAAGTTCCTCTCTGGATTTGGGAATGGAAGAATCTCAGACTCATGCTGATGGCAAACAGGGCATTTTGGGTTTTTTTAAGAAACAAAGAAGAAAACTTGATTTTAAAAGTCACATTTAAAAGAAAATGTGACTAAAGATATGTAAGAGACAACTCAGGAGTGACCAATGAACACATGTGACCGTCTTGGGGGCTGCAGTGGGCAGGCGCAGGGCTGAGACCTTTCTTCTTTCTCTTGTGCAGTCTACAGGGGCTGGCTTGTCACAGAGACCCAGACAAGGCAAAACTACAGTGCGGGCCACAGGCAGGCATCACAATGGGAATAAGGGTTTAGTGTCACCTGAGATGATGCTGGGGCCGCTCCGCCGGCTGGCACGCCTCCGGGGGCAGAGTCAGGCAGTGCTGTCATGCCGGTGTGGCCTGGCTGCATGGGCTCCCCCTCCAGGAGAGCGCCTTCAGGGCCCGCGACAGCCGTGAGCAAAGGCCATGGTGCCTGGGTCCCGTGTCCGGGGGGAAGGAGCCAGGGAGGCAGGGAGAGCCACCCCCGTGGAAACCAGGTAAGCAAAGCAAAATGGAGGGAGGTCACACACATGCCAGAGGGAGAGAGGCCCCGAAAACACGGACCACCAGACGAAGAGAAAGGTGAGCTGGTGGGAAGGGTGTCTAGGTTGGGAGGGGGGTCAGGAGACAGGGCCTCCAGTCCCCAACTTGGGAGCTGTGCTGACAAGCCAGGTGGTCAGCATGTAAATGTGCCAACCAGCATCCGGGAGCTTCGCAAACCCTGAGGGCTCCTGGGCTCATGGTCACCTTGTGGGGTGCGGTCCACAGACTCATATTTACGAAGCCCCAGGGGACCGAGGCATCAGCTCCATAGCGGTGCTGGGGTCTAAGGAAGTGGGGGGGGGAGGGGGGAAGGGCCACCTGTCCTGGGCTGAGACCCCTGGGTGGCCCCCCACAGTGTCACGTGGGCCCTGTGCTGGGCGTCACGGCCACAGGACCTTGGAGCCAGGGCCGGTGCCTGAGAGCCAACTGTCTCTCCTACCGCACCAGGGCCCCCCAGGACAGGGGCCCTGCCACACTCATCTCTGTGTCTAGCTGCTGGCCCCCAGCCTGGAGTCGGGGTGCAGGAAGTTCCTGGGGGTCAGGTGACCCCCAACGTGACAAGCATGGGAGCCCTGTGAAGCCTCTGAACACAGGAATTCTCGGGGAGCGGGGCCCCAGCTCATGGGCACGGCCCCTCTGCAGGGCCCGCTTTAGTTTAGCGGCTTGTCCTCGAGTTTCCAGGGTACTGACTGTGGGCCAGGAGGTCAGTTCCAGGGCCCAGCTGTCAGTTCCCCTTTCTATGCGAGGATGACGAGACGCAAACGACTTGCCCAAGACCAACAGGGAGCGAATGGCAGCGCGGTTTATGGACACAAGAAGGCCCGGGTTTCGCTCTCCACCTCACAGATGTGCAGCAGGTCTCAGCTGGGGGGCTGGGGCAGCCCCACGCCCCGAGGAGAGGCAGAGCCTTGCCTAACCCCAGCACGGTCTCCCACCCTGCTGGTCACCTGACATCCCCACTCCCACTCATTCTAAAGACACCCCGGCCTCCTCTGCGTTCCCTGACGCTCCAATGCCTGCTGCCACAGGGCCTTGACACCTGCCATTCCTCTGCCGGGAATGCCCACCTGTCTTTTCTGCCGTCCTGGTTACCTAGTTAACCTTTTCCCCCTCAGACACGGCCAGCTGGGGGTTCCATGAGGCCTGGGCCCCTGCCTGCCTGGTTCTCACAGAAACCACCATATTCATCTTAATGTGACTCAGACCCGGTCACCTCCCTGCCTGTAGCACTCGGGGACTTTCCACAAGACTGACAATGGCCTAAGAGCCCCCTCCCATGAGCTTCAGCTCCCTAGTTATCTCCTGGCAAGGTCTTAACCGACCACCCCCCAACCCCCCACCTAAGGTAGTTCCATGCGATAACTAGCTACCGTCATTAGGCTTGTGTTTTTCGTAAAACTACTCAGAGCTATCTTGTTCAACAACTGGTCCCCTGTGGGACATCCCAGACATCAAGGTCCCTGAGGCCAGGGCCCGGCAAGGACCCAGGGAGGAGGCATGGAGGGGGCTCCCTGCCACCAGCTCTGTCTGGGGAGCGAGGGGCTCTGGCTCTGGGAGGACTGGGGAGGGTGGGGTCCTGCTCACCAGTGCCTGCATGTCATACATGGTGCTCAGGTGGTCCCAGATGACCTTGGATGGGACCTGCCGCCCGATGTTCTGGCTGAACTTGTCTCGGATACAGATCATGTGGAAGTGCCGGTTCACACCTGCAGAAGGAAGGGGTCAGCTTGTGGGGAGGGGCGGGCCAGCAGGTAGGGTGGAGAAGAGAGGTGGGGGGCAAGGGGGCGAGAGGGGCCCGTGGTTGGAGGGGGTGGGGGTTAGGGGAGCAGGGGTGCGGGGGGAGAGGAAAGGGCAGGGGTCAGCGGGGAAGGAGTAAAGAGGGGCCTGGGTGGCTGGGCGCAGGAGCGGGGGCTGAGGGAGGGGGGGGGGTGCGCAGGGGGGGGCAGGGTCGGCGGGGGTGCAGGCACAGGAGGCCCCGCCCCGTCCGCCCCGCGCGCGCCCCCGGCCGTTGCCCGCCGCCCCGCCCCCACGCGGGTGCGCGGCGCTCCGCTCACCGACGGGCTTGTGGCCCAGCATGGCGTGGAAGAGGCACACCTCCACCTCGGGGCTCCACACCACCGTCTCCTCGGCAGGGCTGGTGGCCGCTTCCCCCGGCCCCTTGTCGCCCGCCGCGCCGCCGCCGCCCACCTCAGCCTCCCCCATAGCCCGGCCGCCCAGCGACGAGCCCCCTGCGGGAGCTGGCGCGGCCACGGGCTCCGCGCAGGCGCACTCCACGGGGCGGGCGCGCGCTCGGTGGGTTCGCTCTCGGGCTCGCGCGCGGCGCTTGCGCAGGCGCAGCTGAGGGCTGGGTCGCGGCGCCCCCTGGCGGCCCGGTCCCGCGGCGCAGCGCCGTCAGAGTGCGGATCACTGGAAGGAGTGCGTTTGGGGAGAGGGATGGAATCGCCCTAAATTAGGTTGTGGCGATATCTGCACAGCTCGGGGTAAACCCCGCTGAACTGTACGCTTTAAATGGCGGAATTTCAAGTTACACCCCAGTAAAAAAGCTAAAAAGAAAAGCAACAGGCAACCTACAATGCCTGCGAGTGTGGGCTCCAAGAGCTTCCATTGCCCCTGGCCTGAGCGCTGCAGAGGGCTCCTGCGCACCGGGGCAGGGGCGTCCCGGCCCATCCTCCCCGACCCGGGCCTCTAGAGTGGTCGGCAAGTGGGGGTTAACCCTGGCCGCGGAGGGGCGGGGCCTGGGCCTGGGCGGAGTCTGGTCCGAGGGCGGGGCCAAGGGGGGCGCCGGCCTGGGGGCAGTCCCGTGACGAGCTCAAAGCAGCACCCAATCGAGGCCGCCTGCTCCACCCCGCCCCATCCCCGCCCACCTCGGGCTTCTCCCCGCCCCCTCCCCACCGGGTCAAGCCCACCGCGGTGCCCGGGGAGGGTACTCTAGGCGAGGAACGCTCTTCGCCTCCTGCTGAGTGTAGACTCTTCGTCAGGCTTCCGGGTCCCCTTCCGGCTCTGCGGCCTGCCAGCTATGTGAGCCGGCAAGGCACTGAACCTCTCCAGGCCGCAGTGCCCTCTTCCGTGCAATGGGAGCGACGACGGCGCCTTCCCCGGGGGTGCTGATGGGGGCTGGTTTCTGCTTGGGGACCCGGGCACACGCTCGGGCTTCTTAGCAAACATTTGGAGTCACTCTGGCCAGCCTCACCCCCTGGGACAGCCCGGGGACTCAGAGCCTGAGTCTTGGCTTCGCATCCGTGAAGGGCGATGCTGGTGATGCCGGTCCCCACAAAGTGGGGAGACATGGCCCATAGAGGATTCCACAATGGCCCAGGGCCACCAGCCGTCCTGGGAGCCACGATGTGGCTGGACGTTGTGATTCCAGCTGGGCCTGTGTTCCTCTCCTCTCTCTGACGCACAGGTGGGGCTCCCCTCAGGGGGTTGATGCGAGGTGGGAATGAAGCAGGGCCCAAAGCCACTTAACACGGGATCTGTCACACAGGAAGTGCTAACAGACAGTGGCCCTCACCATTTATCTCCCTACTGTTCCGGGACACGTCGTGGTACCTGCTCATCCCCTACCCCATCCCTGCCTTCTTCAATCTGGAGAGCCTCCTCCCCCAGGAACCGCCCCCCCCCCCCCCCCCCACCCCACCGACTGCCTTGGCTGGTTTGTGCCCCTCTCCTGCAGTCTCTTCGGCCCTGCCTGGAGTCAGCTGTGCCTGATTATTTTCCCCACTGCACTGGAGGTTCTGAGGGCCGGGCTGTGTCTTGGTCCTCTTTGGTGGCCACTGCACCTGAACCGTGTTTGGCCAGCTGCTGTGGTCCACAGACACCTGGTTCCCTTCGTTCTAGGCAGATCCTGGAATGCGTCCCTGGCAATCAGACTCGATGCAGAGAGACAGGTTGGACGATTTGGGCAAAAGGAAACCGTCTTCTCCGCATCTTTCTTACTCGAAGCCTCCCAGTTACTGCCTGTTTGTCTGCTCCACCAACTCTACCTGTGGGTTCCGTGCCCGCCTCCATGCCCAGCGTCAGGTTGGAGCTGAATGCCGTGCTCAGCTGCCAGGACTCTGCCTAATCCCAGTGATTTGGCTTATTTCCCTGTGTCGCACAGATGTGAGCACAGTTGGAGCTAGACTTAGGCAGGATTAAGGAACTGGGAGCACTGTGCCGGCACCTTCAGCCTCTGAGTTTCGGTGAACCAAGCATCAGGCTTCAGAGCGATTGGCTGCGCTGGTGACCCAGCGTGGGTGACTGGGCCATCTGGGAGTTATCTAGGATGAGCAGCCTCAAGACAAGATGTGGAAAAAAGTTTTAAAAAGTGAAATGCAGCTGGATAGAGAGATGTGTGTGGGCCCGGTGTGTATCCTTCTGGGATGATCATGAGAGTCTGGGCTGAAGGAAGCCCCTTAGCCCACGAGTGGAAAGCTGCTGGGGAGAAATTCCTCTGTTATGGGCAGTTTCTTCCCACCTGGTTACAAAGGCAAGGGGTGGGTGTCGTCTAGGGATGAAACATGGCTGGGAAAGAGGCGGTCACTCAGGTGTCATTAGCAGTTGATTGTTGAGTGCCTCCTGCATGCTTGGTACGGGGTGTGGGTAGGGACTGGGCATGGTGACTGCTCTGCTGGGAGCCCATAGTCTGGGGATCACACTGAAGAAGACGTAAGATCTTATGTGAAGGAGTGGAAGAGAAGGGAGCTTCCCTGGGGATGAGGACAGCCCCAGGTGGCAGGACTTCAGAGAGAGGCCACAGGTGCAACCAGGAACCTGACTCTGAGCCCCACACTCCTGATCTCAGTGCACAGGGGTCCCTGGATCCTGGCATGGCTCAGACACCAACCCTGGACACACTCTGGGTGCTCAGAGCCCTGGGCATGCACTGCAGGGGCTAGCTAAGACCAAGGGCTTCCCCTGGACGTTCTGGGCAACTAGACCTCCAGGGCCCTGGGAGGGGTGGGGGATGGGTAGCTCCTCCCCCAGTAAAGAAGACATTGGATCAAACTACCAATGTTATTTTTCACAGAACTAGAACAAATAATTTTAAAATTTGTATGGAAATACAAAGACCCTGAATAGCCAAAAACAGTGAGAAAGAAGAACAGATCTGGAGGAACCATGCCCCCTGACTTCAGACTATACTATGAAACTACAGTCATCAAAACAGTATGGCACTGGCACAAAAACAGACACATGGGTCAGTGTGGACAGAAAGCCCAGAAATAAACCCACACACTTGTGGTCAATTATGTACAACAAGGGAGGCAAGAATATACAATGGAGAAAAGACAGTCTCCTCAATAAGTGGTGCTGGGAAAATGGACAGCTACATGTAAAAGAATGCATTTATAAAATTTTCTCACACCATATACAAAAACATAAACTCAAAATGGATTAAAGACCTAAATGTAAGACCAGAAACCATAGAACTCCTAGAGGAAAACATAGGCAGAACACTTTTTTACATAAATCATAGCAATATTTTTTTTAGTCTGTCTCCTGAAGGAAAGGAAATAAAGGCAAAAATAAATAAATGGGACTTATTAAACTTAAAAGTTTTGCATAGCAAAGGAACCCATCGACAAAACAAAAAGACAATCTACTGAATGGGAGAAAATATTTGCAAACGATATGACTGGTAGGAGTTAATATCCAACACATATGAACAGCTCATACAACTCAACATCAAAAAAACAAACAATCAGATTAAAAAATGGGCAGAAGAACTGAATAGACATTTTTCCAAAGAGAAAAATGCAGATGGCCAACAGGCACATGAAAAGATGCTCAACATTGCTAATCGTCTGGGAAATGCAAATCAAAACCGCAATGAGATATCACTTCACACCTGTCAAAATGGCTACCATCAAAAAAGAACACAAATAACAAATGTTGTCGAGGATGTGGAGAAAAAGGAACCTTCGTACTCTGTAGATGGGGATGTAAATTGGTCTAGCTGTTGTGGACAACAGTATGGAGGTTTCTCAAAAAACTGAAAATAGGGCTTCCCTGGTGGCGCAGTGGTTGACAGTGTGCCTGCCGATGCAGGGGACACGGGTTCGTGCCCCGGTCCGAGAAGATCCCACATGCCACGGAGCAGCTAGGCCCGTGAGCCATGGCCACTGAGCCTGCGCGTCCAGAGCCTGTGCTCCGCAACAGGAGAGGCCACAACAGTGAGAGGCCCGCGTACCGCAAAAAACAAACAAACAAACAAACAAAAAAAACAACTGAAAATAGAACTACCATATGACCCAGGAATCCCACTCCTGGGTATATATCTGAAAAACAGAAACAAAAACACTAATTCAAAAAGGTATGTGCACCCCAGTGTTCATAGCAGCATTATTGACAATTGCCAAGATATGGAAGCAACCTGTGTCCATCAACAGATGAATGCATAAAGAAGATGTGGTGTACACACACACACACACACACACACACACACACACACGCACTGGAATACTACTCAGCTACAAAAAAGAATGAAATTTTGCTATTTGCAGCAACGTGGATGGACCTGGAGGGTATTCTGCTAAGTGAAATAAGTCAGACAGAGAAAGACAAATACTGTATGTTATCACTTATATGTGGAATCTAAAAAATTAAATAAACTAGTGAATATAACAAAAAAGAAGCAGACTCACAGATATAGAGAACAAACTAGTGGTTATCAGTGGGGAGAGGGAAGGGAGGAGGGGCAATATAGAGGCAGGGAATTAGGAGGTACGAACTATTAGATATAAAATAAACTACAAGGATATGTTGTACAACACGGGGAATATAGCCAATATTTTATAAAAACTATAAATGGAGTATAAACTTTAAAAATTGTAAATCACTATATTGTACACCTATAACATGTAATATTGTACATCAACTATACTTCAATAAAAAAAATAAATAAGTTAAAGAAAATGATGTTGAGTTCCCCTCTCCATCCGACCGCGTATTCCACCTGCACAGAGCAAGTAGGGTCACGTGACAAGCGTCATGCCAAAGTCCCTGTGCCCGTGTGTGTGAGGGGCTGTGTGGCTTCACTGCCCTTCCCGTGTAAGATGAGGGAGGGTGGGTGGGCACACCCTGGGGGCTACACACGGGCTGAGGGAGGGAGCGCCGGGAGAGGCTGGTGGCGAGAGGGGAAGTCGACACGAGGTACGTGGGGGAGGTGTGTGTGAGTGTGTGCATATGTGTGGTAAGGAGGAAGCCTAAAGGCACTAAGTACTGAGAGAGAAATACCAATAGAGCCCACAGATATTGTACGCAGAACAAAGAGTGCTTCGTATTAAAAAACAAACTTTGAAAAGAAATCAGCCCACCATTTATCTACCTTTCCATCTATCTATTTGTCTATCCATCTATCGTTTATCTATCCATCTATCATCTATCTTTTCTACCTTTCCATCTATCTACCTGTCACCTTTCCATCTATTTATCTGTCTGTATATCCATCTATTTTTCATCTATCTATCCATCTATTTTCTATCTATCTATTTATCTACCTTTCCATCTATCTATCTATCTATCCATGTATGTAT